CTTACAGTTTGTTCTTCCTTAGTTGCACAGCAAAAGCATGGCAAGTACTACATTCACTACACCACACTTAAAACAATTCAGGGCTAACCACCCATTCACTTTGCTCCATTTCTGCTAAATATGGCAATGGGGTACAAAGTGGAAGACACTACTTAATAAGCAACTGTTTTAATAATACAACAGACTTTCAGAAACTAGAATACCCGGACACAATCAACCTGCCATAAGCAATACACTGCAACTCTACTGTGAATTACACCTAATAAAAACAAATGAAATCAGGTATATTCGCTTACCCATTTCACTTAAAAAAAAAAAACGCATTAAATATATTCACATAATAATCTCTAATTTGTCTCTAAAAACTAATTTGCAGTNATTTTATGCAGCCTTCTGACTCATTCTAAACTTCAGCATGAAATAAAAAGAATTAAAAAAATAAAAATAAAAAAAAACACTGCATTCTCAGTTTTATCTGTACAAAGGCCACCTCAAGAATGACACTTGCCTAGTCAAAAGTCCTTGCAGAATTCTTCTATAAACCAGATGCTTCAATCTTTGAAGTCTTGCTCCGGCAGCTGATCTTTTAAAGTGTGCTACCATATTAATTTAGCAACACTTTAATCTTACAGTTTGTTCTTCCTTAGTTGCACAGCAAAAGCATGGCAAGTACTGCATTCACTACAGCACACTTAAAACAATTCAGGGCTAACTACCCATTCAGTTTGCTCCATTTCTGCTAAATATGGCAATGGGGTACAAAGTGGAAGAGACTACTTAATAAGCAACTATTTTAATAATACAACAGACTTTCAGAAACTAGAATACCCTGAGATAATCAACCTGCCATAAGCAATACACTGCACCTCTACTGTGAATTACACCTAATAAAAACAAATGAAATCAGTTATATTCAGTTATCCATTTCACTTAAAAAAAAAAAAAAAGCATTAAATATATTCAGAAAATAATCTCTAACTAATTTGTCTCTAAAAACTAATTTGTAGAGCCAGCCCAGTGGCGCACTGGAGAGTGCGCTGCTTGAGAGCGCAGCAGCGCTCCCGCCGAGGGTTCGGATCCTATGTGGAGACTGGTTCCCGCTCACTGGCTGGGCGCGGTGCGGGCGCAACACCGAGGGTTGCAATCCCGTTGCTGGTCCCCGGTACGGGCGCGACACCGAGGGTTGCGATCCCGTTACCGGTCAGTAAAGATAAAAAGGAATAAAAAAAAAAAAACACTAATTTGTAGATTTGTGCAAAAGAAACAAGTTTATAGTTCAACTCTGGGTATTTTTTGGAAAATGCATAAGCAATTAGTAGTAATAAGCTGATTTCTAAACTTCCCATTTATGATAAAAGGCATTACTAAGA